AACGATTTCTCAAGAACTATTGTTTCAAATTGGCTAAAATTTTACTATATTATAGTTGAATATATATACTATATGTGATAAAAATTTGAGCCGATTTGGATTGATAGTTATCGAGAAAATTAACGTTAAAGTTTAAAAAAATTTAATAAATTTTTGTTATATATCGTTAGTAATTACTAACAATAATAATCGGCAGGGGGGTTGTATATCGATTGTAATCTAGGGGATTACTATTGATATATAGCATCTTTTAAATTTTGCTGATGGTAACTTAGGGATGTTAATCGGTTCTTTGGGATCAAATCCTAACCGGTCCTTACTAATCCTTTAAAGGATCGGTAAGGACTCGATCCTTAAATCACATAAGAGCTATATAGGACTCAGATCCTGGATCAATTCTTGGACCCAGTCTCTTTAAAAATCTCAGGATCTGCTTTTGTTAACGTTAGAACAGCCCTCTGCCTTTGGCCTTGCGCCACTGGTAAGGAATATTTTTTATAAGGCATATATCTTTAATTTTGAATAGTTTATGGTCTCTGGTTTTGTATTTGACGACAAGAGGTATGATTTTAAACCAACTTTTTAGTAGAAAAGTAATATGTTTAAGGGCAGTAAGAAGTAACCATCTCTGGATTTAAATAACTATAGGTGAGCAAACTTACGTTATAAAAGTTAAATCACTGAGTATTTAATAATAAAAGAAGTATACTTACACTTCTTAATTAACTCAGTTTGTAGACATTCTTGACCAACTTGTTATGATTTGGAAATTTTAAATAGCGTCAAAGGTGGTGCGGTACGCCTTACATATTCCTTACTAATGGCAAAGTTAATCATTTCCGCATTAAAAATAAAATAATGGGTAAGTTAAGCTTATAAAAGTTAATTCATTTTTTTGTATTTAATAACAAAAGAAGTGTAACTTATACTTGTTGACTACTTTTATCTTATCAGCTCGTGTGAAAGAAATTTTAATCAGTAAATGAATCATTTCTTAAGCAATAACAGAACAGCATTTTTGTTTTAAAGTAAACCATCCTATTTTTTGATATAAAAGCTAGAAAATCTAACTTTTATCAAGTTAAATTTTCAATAATAAAGGCAATGTCCTTCCCTAGTGTAGTAATGAAGGCGATATGCCTTCCCTAGTGTAGTAATGAAGGCGATATATCTTCCCAAGTGTAGTGATATACCTTCTTTAGTGTAATAATAAAATGTATAGTAACAAAGACGAAATGCCTTCCCCAGTATAGTAACAAAGGCAATGTGCCTTTCTCAGTATAGTTATAAGGCAAATATATCTTTCCCAATATAATGATAAAGCGTATAGTAATAATGAATATATAGTAACAAAGGCGAAATGCCTTCCTCAGTGTAGTAACAAAGGTGATGTGCCTTTCCCAGTGTAGTTATAAAGGTGAATATGCCTTCCCCAATATAATGATGAAGCACGTAGTAACAAAAGTGATATGCTTTCCCTAGTGTAGTTATAAAGGTGAATATGCTAGTATGCCTTTCTCAGTGAACAAAAGCCGTATCTTAACAAGTAATGTGTTTAAATTTTACTTAAAAACCTTCAAAAAAAAAAAAAACAAAAAAAAAATAAAAAATCATGGCAACAAACAAATTTGAATCTATTACTAAAACAAATCAATTTGAATTTGAACCAAATCAATTTGAATTTGAACTAAATCAATTCGAATTTGAATTCGTAGATAAAGAAACTTTTAGTGAAGAAACCTCTACTGGTGATAAAATCGCATCCTCGTCCCCAGACAACATAGAAAAAACACATTAAAAAAAAAAAAAAAATATCGCATCTGCAAATAAACGAGCACCTGTTAGAGATTACCTTTCATCAATCGATGATGATGGAAGTAATATATACAAACTACGCAAGCAAGAATTTGGTAGCCTGACCGCAATATCAACTATTAATCGGCACTTTCAAAATTTTCACCCTGCAGAGTTTACTAAGATCAGGCAACTTAAATCTCGTCAGCTCGACCTCTATGGTCCAAATGACAAATATAAAGTAGATATTTTAAACAATAAACTTTTAAAATGGGTAGTTGTCGATCAACAATCATTTTTATTAGCAGAAATGCCGAATTTAATAATTTTTTAAAGGAACTCGATCCTCACTACAGACTTCCATATCAGTAAATACTCTCAACTTGGGTTAGCCAAGATTATATTAAAAATAAAAATCAAATCAAATTTTTTTTAAATACAATTTAATCAAAAATCTCAATTACAATAGATGAGTAGACCTCTTGTACCCAACAACCCTATATCACCATAACTGCATATTGGATAAACTCCGATTGGAAAATGAATCGTATCTTACTTGACCTTATCCTATTTAATAAAACCCACACTACAATCAACCAAGCCGATACGATCATCAAAATTTTAAAGAAAATAAATTTTGGTCAAAAACTTTTAGGAATCACAACCGACAATGCTGCCAATATGCTTGTAATGGGGCGTATTCTAAAAGAAAAAATTAGCGATGAATTTGATAATCAAGATGTATAGCATTTTCGCTGTGGTGCGCATGTTCTCAATATTATTGTCGAAGAAGGAATAAAATCAATTAGTAAAGAAATTTCCAAGGCACGGGAGCTCTCTATGAAACTTCGAAACTCTCCATCGCTTATTCGTGAATTAAAAAAAATCTTTGAAATGAAAAATGTACCATTTTTAATACCCGAAACTGATATCAACACGAGATGAAACAGCATGTATACTATGTTAGAAAAACTTCAATGAATTCGTCTTATGACTAATATTCTTGTAGCAGGCAACCAAACTTTAAAGCCAAACTATCCTGATGATCAAGAATAGAAGATTATCATTGTTAGTAATGCTAATTTAATTTTTTTTTTTTAAATACTCAACTCTAATAAATATAATTACAGGACCTGTTAATACTTCTTGAGCCCATGTATCATGCAACTGTAATGCTATTTTCATCAACACTTTTTACTCAAAGTAACCTTCGTATGGTATTCTGTAGCCTAATTACCCACTTAAATAATAATGAAAACCCAGAGGTTAATATACAATATGCCGTAGCCAGTGCAATGAAACAAAGTTCGCATCATATTGGGTTCATTTGAATGAGTTGTCAACAATTTTGGGTCTTCTTGATCCACATAATAAGCTCTCAACCTATGTAGTAAATGAACATAAGCAAGCTATTAGAGTTGAGTATTTAAAAAAAAAAAATTAAATTAGCATTACTAACAATGATAATCTTCTATTCTTGATCATCAGGATAGTTTGGCTTTAAAGTTTGGTTGCCTGCTACAAGAATATTAGTCATAAGACGAATTCATTGAAGTTTTTCTAACATAGTATACATGCTGTTTCATCTCGTGTTGATATCAGTTTCGGGTATTAAAAATGGTACATTTTTCATTTCAAAGATTTTTTTTAATTCACGAATAAGCGATGGAGAGTTTCGAAGTTTCATAGAGAGCTCCCGTGCCTTGGAAATTTCTTTACTAATTGATTTTATTCCTTCTTCGACAATAATATTGAGAACATGCGCACCACAGCGAAAATGCTATACATCTTGATTATCAAATTCATCGCTAATTTTTTCTTTTAGAATACGCCCCATTACAAGCATATTGGCAGCATTGTCGGTTGTGATTCCTAAAAGTTTTTGACCAAAATTTATTTTCTTTAAAATTTTGATGATCGTATCGGCTTGGTTGATTGTAGTGTGGGTTTTATTAAATAGGATAAGGTCAAGTAAGATACGATTCATTTTCCAATCGGAGTTTATCCAATATGCAGTTATGGTGATATAGGGTTGTTGGGTACAAGAGGTCTACTCATCTATTGTAATTGAGATTTTTGATTAAATTGTATTTAAAAAAAATTTGATTTGATTTTTATTTTTAATATAATCTTGGCTAACCCAAGTTGAGAGTATTTACTGATATGGAAGTCTGTAGTGAGGATCGAGTTCCTTTAAAAAATTATTAAATTCGGCATTTCTGCTAATAAAAATGATTGTTGATCGACAACTACCCATTTTAAAAGTTTATTGTTTAAAATATCTACTTTATATTTGTCATTTGGACCATAGAGGTCGAGCTGACGAGATTTAAGTTGCCTGATCTTAGTAAACTCTGCAGGGTGAAAATTTTGAAAGTGCCGATTAATAGTTGATATTGCGGTCAGGCTACCAAATTCTTGCTTGCGTAGTTTGTATATATTACTTCCATCATCATCGATTGATGAAAGGTAATCTCTAACAGGTGCTCGTTTATTTGCAGATGCGATATTTTTTTTTTTTTTTTAATGTGTTTTTTCTATGTTGTCTGGGGACGAGGATGCGATTTTATCACCAGTAGAGGTTTCTTCACTAAAAGTTTCTTTATCTACGAATTCAAATTCGAATTGATTTAGTTCAAATTCAAATTGATTTGGTTCAAATTCAAATTGATTTGTTTTAGTAATAGATTCAAATTTGTTTGTTGCCATGATTTTTTATTTTTTTTTTGTTTTTTTTTTTTTTGAAGGTTTTTAAGTAAAATTTAAACACATTACTTGTTAAGATACGGCTTTTGTTCACTGAGAAAGGCATACTAGCATATTCACCTTTATAACTACACTAGGGAAAGCATATCACTTTTGTTACTACGTGCTTCATCATTATATTGGGGAAGGCATATTCACCTTTATAACTACACTGGGAAAGGCACATCACCTTTGTTACTACACTGAGGAAGGCATTTCGCCTTTGTTACTATATATTCATTATTACTATACGCTTTATCATTATATTGGGAAAGATATATTTGCCTTATAACTATACTGAGAAAGGCACATTGCCTTTGTTACTATACTGGGGAAGGCATTTCGTCTTTGTTACTATACATTTTATTATTACACTAAAGAAGGTATATCACTACACTTGGGAAGATATATCGCCTTCATTACTACACTAGGGAAGGCATATCGCCTTCATTACTACACTAGGGAAGGACATTGCCTTTATTATTGAAAATTTAACTTGATAAAAGTTAGATTTTCTAGCTTTTATATCAAAAAATAGGATGGTTTACTTTAAAACAAAAATGCTGTTCTGTTATTGCTTAAGAAATGATTCATTTACTGATTAAAATTTCTTTCACACGAGCTGATAAGATAAAAGTAGTCAACAAGTATAAGTTACACTTCTTTTGTTATTAAATACAAAAAAATGAATTAACTTTTATAAGCTTAACTTACCCATTATTTTATTTTTAATGCGGAAATGATTAACTTTGCCATTAGTAAGGAATATGTAAGGCGTACCGCACCACCTTTGACGCTATTTAAAATTTCCAAATCATAACAAGTTGGTCAAGAATGTCTACAAACTGAGTTAATTAAGAAGTGTAAGTATACTTCTTTTATTATTAAATACTCAGTGATTTAACTTTTATAACGTAAGTTTGCTCACCTATAGTTATTTAAATCCAGAGATGGTTACTTCTTACTGCCCTTAAACATATTACTTTTCTACTAAAAAGTTGGTTTAAAATCATACCTCTTGTCGTCAAATACAAAACCAGAGACCATAAACTATTCAAAATTAAAGATATATGCCTTATAAAAAATATTCCTTACCAGTGGCGCAAGGCCAAAGGCAGAGGGCTGTTCTAACGTTAACAAAAGCAGATCCTGAGATTTTTAAAGAGACTGGGTCCAAGAATTGATCCAGGATCTGAGTCCTATATAGCTCTTATGTGATTTAAGGATCGAGTCCTTACCGATCCTTTAAAGGATTAGTAAGGACCGGTTAGGATTTGATCCCAAAGAACCGATTAACATCCCTAAGTTACCATCAGCAAAATTTAAAAGATGCTATATATCAATAGTAATCCCCTAGATTACAATCGATATACAACCCCCCTGCCGATTATTATTGTTAGTAATTACTAACGATATATAACAAAAATTTATTAAATTTTTTTAAACTTTAACGTTAATTTTCTCGATAACTATCAATCCAAATCGGCTCAAATTTTTATCACATATAGTATATATATTCAACTATAATATAGTAAAATTTTAGCCAATTTGAAACAATAGTTCTTGAGAAATCGTT